ATATGATGTAAGGCAGAATTTCCTAAGAGAACAGAGTCTCACGTGAACGAGTCATTTGCACGATGAATTTGCAAGACCCGATTTGGGACAAGTGAGCGAGGAGACGATCAAGAGAAACGAATCGCGTAAAAACGAAGAAGAAGAAGAAGAAAAAGAAAAAGGGAGTCGCATGGAGTAACGAATAACGAGCTACTGGAGGACTACTCTTCGTTTAACCTCTTACAATTAGTAAAGCCGCTTACTAGGCCATCGCTGAAATTTGTAGATACTGTAACGACTCTCTCGCCGGTTGCCAACAAGAACGCGATGAATATCCGTATCCGGTTAATGGATCATACAGAAAATTCGTCGTAGAGCATCGTTCGAAAGAGCTGCACCGTCGCGTCGCTGTCTTGCATTTAAATGTCTCTCAGAGAGAGAGAGAGGGGAATAAGCTCGGGGCTCTTTCGACTCGATTTTCTTTGCATTCTTGCCAATTGACCTCGTCGCGCCTATTGATATTCCTGGAGCATAAAAACGACCTGATCCCCGGCACTTCCTCGATATTCACGATCAAATGCAGTTTACGTTTCATTCACGTAATCAACGTCTGTGAGACGACACACGGCCGGAAGTTTCACAGTTTATTATAGTTGACTGTCTACAACATTTGTGTTGTAACACGTGCTGTGTCTACGCAAATGTGAAAAGAAATTTTTCGTTCCCCGGGGAAATCGAACATCGAAGATTCGCCGAGTTTACGCCCGAGTTTAGCGTACAACAGCGAAAAGAGAAGGATAATTAAACAGAGGATCGTTTTTTACGTTGGAATGCGACTCTCGCATATCGATCCGTGTTTTACACCTGCCCTCTGCTCCGCCTCGAGGCCGAATGTTTGACGAGTCAACACCCGATGGATATAGATCCGCGATATTAGATCGATAAACAGTGAATCCAATATTATTATCGGTATCATCCTGCCTGCTTTGTCGCTATTGATATTTGAATCATAAAATGTATCAATATTTAATATCGGCGGTATATGATCAGTAATACTATTGGCTTGTATACATGCAATAATGTAGTATCAATAATAATATAGTACTATATACTATATTTAACTCGCAGTGATCGAGTCATTTGAATGCAAAGCACGAATCATAAAACAAACGTATCGTATTTGTAAAAACTGTAATAATAATATTTGTGAATATGCTTTTTCTTTCAATTTGTAATGATGAACCAGAATAATTCGAAAAGCTGATATAGTCGATAAAAATAGAAGCTGATTAGAAGAATTTGCTTCCTCTGATGATGACTATATCAATGTTATTATTAATATTATAATTACTAGATTGCGGATTTTTATTCATTTTTATTCATTGTACCATTGGAAATATTTTTATAGAAAGCATCACACTTCCAATGTTCTATATATTTTTTGCATATTAAGTATAGTGCGAGCACTTTTTCAACTTCACCTTTTGATTCAATAATTTAATGAAATAATATATTATTATCAAATTATATAAATATAATTCTAATACTATATTACCACATTATTTAATTGCCAACGTTAATGTTTGACTATTATTAATATACATACTAATTATTATAACATTTCAATAAATAATAAAGTATTACTTTATTGCACTTTGTACGTCGTGCTTTTGTTATACTTTACATTAATACTTTATTACAAAGTACAATAATGTTAGAATATTTATAAAATTAAAAAATTTGTAAAGTACAAAATAAAAATATTTATACTTCATTATATATATTACACTATAATAAAGTATTATCAGTATAATATATATTGTATAATATATAATAAAGTATTAATATATATTATAATATATATATTGTATAATAAAGTATATAATAAAAAATAATATATATATAATATATATTACACTACAATTATCAATATAATACTTTATTATAATATTATATTATAATATACTTAATATAATATAATATTAATAAATATTATAAAATCAATATTATAATATAATATTGGCAATTTCATCAATCATACGTGAGTCACTTTTTCAATACGCGTATTGATCGTAATTTCTCGCGCAGGTGAATGGCCAAGATGTATCGAACTCGAGCCACGAGGATGCGGTGCGTTGCTTTCAATTGGCCCAGGAACCGATCATCGTGGAGGTATTGCGACGGCAGCCAGTTCAACAGCAGCAACAGCAACAACAGCATATCAATCAGCGAGCCGGATGGAAGGAACAGGAGAGTCGGGGGACAGAGCCGGAGAAAGAATCGGAGAGAACGATCGAGGCTGGCAGCAAACGCGAACAACACGCGATCAACACTTGTCCAAACTTGGTCTCGACCGCGGTGCAAACCGACTGGGCCGGACTCCTCGAGGCCGAGGAAGAAGAACTGCTGCCGGTGGTTGACGAGCAACCGAACGACAGCTTCGAAGATTTCCTCGCGCACGACATCGACTTCGAGGTAACCGAGGACACTTGCAATTAGAGATTAAACACTGCAGGAACACTCGGAAATTCTTTTCATTTTATTAACAGATCCTACGTTTTATACCATGTTACTGTACTTACTAGACTAGATCCATTCTGATCGATCACATCTCTCTGGCAAATTGGAAAGATATTTTTATTCGTTTATTCGGGAGAGTAATTAATTTTTAAACAAATAACAATCAGACACGGAGTAATATTCCGAGAAGAAAACACATAATATAATTCCACGTTTGAATGAGCCGTTCTGTCGAGGAGAATTATCGTTATATCTGTCGTGTATCTGTCGATTCGTGTGTGGCTTGTAACGAAACCGCGATTTGCAGGAGGTGACGTTGCGGAAGACAGGCAGCGCGGAGAAGCTGGGGCTGACGGTGTGTTACAGTTCCGGTTCCGGCAGCGAGGACGCCGACACCGAGGTGTACATCTCGGAGATAGTTCCTGAGAGTCTGGCAGCGCGCGATGGCCGATTGCGCGAGGGCGACCAAATCTTGAGGGTAAGTCGCGAAGATCGGGGCGGATTGATTCGATTACAACCCTGTGAACTCCAGAACGAACGAACGAGAATCTCTCTTTCGTCGTGATTCCCTTCCAACCTGCTACCCTTCTAATCTTGTTAAGCGGATCGTAATCGCGGAACAAAGACTCCGGTGCTTGTGACTCGGGCGAAATCGAATGGAAGAAGAGACCGAACGAATCTCTCTCGATTCTCTACATTT